CATATAAAAATTGAACGAAACAACTATTACAACAACTGTTCAAAGTGACGACCCCCAACAGTAATGCAAGCTTCTGCTCTCCTCATCAAAGAATTCCGCACCCGTTGAAAAATGCCCGGAGTGTTTCTTATCGTTTCGCAGCAATCAATGATGCGATCCCTCAACATTTCCTCGTTTTCAATGGGGCTAGCATAAACTAGTGATTTTAGGTGTCCCCAAAAGGGAAAATCGACGGGATTGAGGTCCGGTGACCTCGGGGGCTAATGCTCAGTCCCTCCTCTTCCTATCCATCGTTGGGGACATGCTACGTCTGAAAAATTTCTTGCTATCACACTAAAATGAGCAGGAGCTCCATCGTGCATAAACCTAGAGTGATTTCGGAGACCAATGGGAACATCTACCCGAAGTTGGGAAGCTCGTGTTCAAAAAATGTAGGTAAAGATCTCCATTCAAAAGTAAGGGGAGAAAATAGAGTCCAACTTCATGTTAACTAATTTCATCGAAAACCGCCTCCTCCAATTCTACAGTTATTGTACTTTGTAGCCGTCCTACTGCAGAATTTGTTTCAAAGCTTCCAGATTCGGAAAGTCGCCGGAAAAGACTCGCAAATGTCGCTGCACAAGGAGTCACGCGTTGGATATACCTTTTTTGATAGATGCGTCTGGCCTCGCTTGAATTTCCGTCAGCCAAGCCGTATGCAAAAACCATATCAGCCGTTTCAGCATTCGTAAATTCGGGCATGGTACCCAAAAATCACTTAATAAACTCCGAACTGTGAATTTGTCAATTAATAGTTAAAAATGTGACAGTGAACTTCTATTTCTATGAACAAACTTTCATAGCCTACTCGATTTAATTAACTTAATTTGCAAGCGGAGAGTGACAAAAATTATTGAAATCAAATTTGGTTTTAAAGTGATATGCATCGATATTGAAAATTGTAAATATCTCAAAAACGATCATCTCCAGCGTTGTTGAGGAGGTGTAGCTTTTCTACTTTGAAAAGTTGTGGGTATTAGGTTTTTTCATGTAAAGTACCAAAAGTTTACTGTCAAAAAAGTTAGGGCAATTTGAAATAAATAATGATAGCGTAGGCAGCGTCCTCTAGATGTTACATGAAAATTAATACGTAATTATGTCGAAATACTTTCTACCGACGACCCAAACATAGCATATGGCATATTTTATGACCTAATCAAAAATCTAGTTAACATTATTTTCAGGCTGAAAAAATGCTCGAGAAATGTTAAAGACTGTAAAAGCTGGATGACCAGGGGCATTAAAATATCCTGCAAAAATAAAAGAAAACTTTATCAGATGAAACTCCAAGGAAAAATTTCACAAGACTATTTACATAAATATTGCAAAATACTTAAAAAAGTGATTAGAGAGTCAAAAAAATTGTGTGACAACCAGTTTATTAATAACGCTACCAATAAAGGGAAAGCAGTGTGGACATTGGTACAAAAGTACACAGGGAAAACAGAAAAGAAGAACGTTTCAATTCTAAGAAATATTGATAAAGAAGAAAAAGATAAAAAATTAATCTTAAACAAAGTAAATAGCTTCTACATANTTAATTAACTTAATTTGCAAGCGGAGAGTGACAAAAAATTTTTAAATCAAATTTGGCTATAAAGTAATATGCATCGATATTGAAAATTGTAAATATCTCAAAAACGATCATCTCCAGCGTTTTTGAGGAGGTGTAGCTTTTCTACTTTGAAAAGTTGTGGGTATTAGGTTTTTTCATGTAAAGTACCAAAAGTTTACTGTCAAAAAAGTTAGGACAATTTGAAATAAATAATGATAGCGTAGGCAGCGTCCTCTAGATGTTACATGAAAATGTAAAATGTTACATGATTTCCCACGTCAAAAAAACTCCGGGTACCGAATTTCGTGCAAATAACTTATTTTCTGCGGGATTTTCAGAAAGCGTACAAAAAATTAAATTTCAACACCCCGTATCTCCGAAACGGTGCATTTTCGGACACAAGTTCATATAGACTTTTTCTCTTAAAATTGTCTTGGTAATACGCGACTTGAATATTTTAACGTAATTATGTTACCCCCTGTATATTAAGTTCCTCAAATTCTAGAAATTTGGTGAACTGGCCTCTCACTAAATGAATAATATTCTCCAAAAATATGAATTATTCACAACAGACTGTTTCAGAGACAATCAATTTCGACACTAGGTGGTTAGAATTTTTCTTCAACCGTTGAGATTTGAAAACAAAAATTCTCATTTTCTGAAAGTTTGGTCAATCACAAAAGTATCAAAAAGTTATTTAACACAAATACTTCTTTCACACAAAAGAACTGCAACACTATTTTCAACGTGCGTTTACCACCGCATCACATATAAAAATGCTTCGAAAATAGTGTTCTAGTATCTGGTGTATGTAACTAGAGATTGTTTCAATTGTTAACATCTATCTCGAAAATCTAACTGAAGGAGAATTTAACAATACAAAACTACTCTTAGCAGGAGGTGCACATTTGCAAAATCAAATGCAGCAATCAGCAACAGTTGAAACTGGTATAGGTTGAACAGAGTTTGGTTTTTCATTGTATGTCCATTATATCTGTAGCTTGCCTTTGGAGAAGTATTTTGAATTGAAACAATTTCTCAAATTGAAACTAGGGAGAAATGAATAGAAAAATACATTTTATGAATCATTTATTATTACATAAGCTCAGTTTTGAATGCCATTAACATCATCAGTAAGTGGGCCTACTTGAAGACTGGCTATTAATCATTCCTTCGGTGTCAATTGATACGACACTGATATATTGGCAGCTTGACCACCTAGCCCTGCTGTATCGTCGCCCACGTATATACCAGCGATGTGATGATTTTCCAGTTGAAAGTCTGTGTGGACACCCCTAGCGTCATTTTTGGTGCCATATCCCACAACTCGACCGTCAGAAAGTGCAAACTCCAAGTAATCCAAAGCTCCATTACCCCAGACACTCAATCTTGTACAGAAAGCACCTTTGAATTCGACGTAATGTTTCTCGGTANTTGGAATAGGATTTGACATAGTTATTTTTGTTATTTTACTTCTAGAGTGCTTGTCTATCTATGAGTTGACAGCAGAAAAAATGAATCGGGGTTCTTGAATTAAGTGTTTTAGAAAAAGTCTCTATCCTAGATATTCTCAGCTTACATCACTTGACATGAGAAAAAAAGTGCCTTATCAGTACATTTTTTTTCAAGTTCTAATCATAATCATCTGCAGTGAATGTTGCCTCTCTTTCTAGAGAGTTTAAAAGTGATTGCTTCATGCACTGTGTAGAAGAGTAAGAAGAAATGTAATTTCCATACTTCACAGTGTGAACATTTCCAACTCCCTAAAAAACGGACCACTATTGTATTAGTTGAAATGCGGCAATAATTAGAAAATCACAATTTTTTTTGTTTCATGCCCAGTTTATTTTGATGCAGTTATATGACTTTTAGAACATAGTTTTCGTTTTTGAATAATATGATTAACGAAATACCACTCGTAGTTTTTAAATAACCCAAGGTTTTTAAGGAGATCGCAAATATTTGGTGGCTTGGAACCAATAATCAATTTCAATTAGTTTGCTGCCGTTTTTTGTCTGAATTTCATTAGTTCGGACTTTCATTGTGTAATATGATAAAAAATGATTTGAAATACCTGAAAGGACCAATATAATCAAAATGAATAGCTGGAAATAACATTTATATTAAGCAAAAAACCCTGAAATGGAATTACAATGAAATAAAATTCAAGCAAAAAATTGAAAATTCGAACAAAATATGAAATGAAAGTTGACGTTTCGATTGTTAATATCCACAATCATCTTCGGGTGAATACTTGTACTCAGAGTTATACAGTCCACGTACAAAATCAATAATGCGTTTTGCATATGTGAAAGCAAAAGTAACGTGAGAATTTGACAACTGTAATTCATGTCAGTATCAGAGAGTTGAAAAAATAAAAGGTATTGAAGGAGACAATAATATTCAATTGAATTTTTCATGAACCCAATAATAAATGAGTGAGAGTGAAGGGAACAACTAACTTCTATGAATTGAAAAGATAGTACTCACCTGAAGTATTCAGTAGAAACTCTATCGAAAATTGGACACTTCTGATTCTCATTCACCGTGAGCAGCTTTTTATAGTTAAATTTCACCGATAAACAATACCCACCCCCTCCGGTGTTTCTGTTAGGAAAAAACAATCGAAGGTTGATTGGCATACCGCATTATTTTCGAATCGTCTGATAAGTGAAATATTTTGCAGGATTGTTGTTATTGATATCAGTCATAGTTGTAATCGAACAATATGCAAGTCTTTAGGAAATGGGCGCTAAATCAGCGAAACAATCAGATGATCAGCATGGGTTTGTTTGAAACAAGTCGTGTACAACCAACATTGCATGTCTTTCACGATGTGAATCAGAAGCTCCCTTCGACAGATGTCTTCAGAAATGG